ATTCTATTGTTTAATAATTAGGATACTAATTTGTTTATGTTTTAATTATTATTATTATATTTATCTTAAAGGGGAGTTAAAGCGCATTATGGACTTGGTTATTTATATAGTTGGTTAATGTTAGTTAGATTATGATTATTATATTTGTAACCCTGTATTTAGCTCTGGGAAGTGGGGGAGGGAGAGGGGGGATTAGGGGTGGGTGGGTTTAGGGGTTTATATTGTAATTTTTATAAAACTTTTTAATAAAAAAAAAATGAAAGACAGCTGGATAACTTTGGGCCAATCACCAGGAGATGGCGAGTTCTAGTCCTAAATTAGTCTTGAAAGCCAATTGGGCAACTTTGATCAAATCAGCAGAGGATTGTGAACACTAGTTCCGCCTTTAGAGATGAAGACCAGTTGGATGACTTTGAACATCATCAGATGAATACGAGTTCTAGTTCTGTGTGACAATGAAAATCAGTTGGGAGACTTTGGACCAATGACCAGGAGACGGTGAGTTCTAGTCCCACCTTAGGCATGCAAGCTGGATAGGTGACATTGGGCGGTCACTCTCTCTCAACCATGATGTTACCTAGTTGGGAATGAAACATGCACAAGAAAGCAATTTCCTCCTCCTCTGCAAACCCAATTCCCTTCTAGCACTGATGATGTTACCTAGCTGGGTCATGAAACGTCTACAAGAAAACCACCAAGCTCAGAGAGCATCAAGGACCCCACAGTTATCGTCCTCTTCTTCCACTCTATAAACCCCACTCCCTTCTAACACTGATGATGTTATCTAGCTGGGTCATGAAACGTCTGCAAGGAAATACCCAAGCTCAGAGAGCACCAAGGACCGCATAGTTATCGTCCTCCTCTTCCTCTTCCTCCTCCACTCTATAAACCCCACTCCCTTCTAGCACTGATGTTGTTATCTAGTTGGGTCATGAAACGTCTACAAGAAAACCACCAAGCTCAGAGAGCATCAAGGACCCCACAGTTATCGTCCTCTTCTTCCACTCTATAAACCCCACTCCCTTCTAGCACTGATGATGTTACCTAGCTGGGTCATGAAACGTCTACAAGGAAACACCCAAGCTCAGAGAGCACCAAGGACCGCACAGTTCTAAGAGGTTCATAACAACCTACATTTTCCTCTTTCCTTCCTCACATTTGTAACAATAAATATTTCTTTGAGCTGTTACTAACCTCAAGAATCTTTATGCCAGCATCTGAAATAGACATATATGTTACAACAGCTGGAAAAAAACACAGCAGCTTCTAAATTTAATTAAGCCATGAAAAACAGCCCATTTAACTGAGATGGCAGGCAGAGATTATGTTTAATATCACTGGCCTGTTTGTGTAGCCAGGATGGAAAGTCTGAAGTTTCAAGAAGAGCGCCATCAAGCTTACTGTTTAGTATGTCAGTGGAAATAAAAATACACGTCGGGAGCACTGTAATCTGATTTTAATTAACTTTAAATCAAACCAAATCAAATCTGGTTTGCCTTTGCTGTGTTTGCTTTTTGTGTTCCATCCCATCTGTTTGGGGAATATTTACACACACACACAAACACACCAACAATAGGTGTCACTAAGACCAAAGACAGCCCACCTTATAAAGAAATACGCGGAAGAATTTCTCCCAAACAAAAAGGATCCTTATAAATCTTCACCCCTAATTTGGTCACGAAAAACTCGTTGAGTTGATTGCATTACAGGCAGTCCTCGACTGACGACCGCAACTGAACCCAAAATTTCTGTTGCTAAGCAGGAGGGTTAAGTGAGTTTTGCCCATTTTACGACCTTTCTTGCCACAGGTGTGAAGTGAATCACTGCAGTCGTCAAGCAAAGCATGTGATCACTAAGCGAATCTGGCTTTCCCCATTGACTTTGTCAGAAGGCCGCAAAAAGGGATCAAATGACCCCGGGACATTGCGACCGTCGTAAATACGAGTCAGTTGCCAAGTGTCTGAATTCTGATCATGTGACCATGGGGATGCTGCAATGATTGGGTGAAAAATGGTCATAAAAAAGTCACTTTCTCAGGGTTGTGACTTGGAACAGTAGGGTTTTTTTGGCAGCTGCAGCACACGGCTGGCTCGTAGTTAAGTGGTGGTCCAGTAGAACAGGGCTTTTCAACCTTTTCACCCATTGTACCACTTTTAGGATATGGCAATATCCAAGTACCACCAGTTGCCTAGTAAGATGTCAAAAACTTGACCCCCCAAAAAAGGGAAAAAAGTGATGAAGTACAGGTAGTCCTCGACTTACAACAGTTCGCTTAATGACTGTTCAAAGTTACAATGGCACTGAAAAAAGTGCCCCCCAAGCCACAGCCGAGCAAGTCACCTGCCTGCCCAGCCGGTGGCGCTCTTCCTCCTGTTCGAGATTTTCATTGTTGTGAGCATTTCTGTTGAGGATTGGCAGTGGGGGTGGGGTGGGGGTGTTTGGTTTTTATTCCCCCCGTCTGCTGGGTGGTTGCAGCAAGTTTTGGTCACTTCACATGACCCTGGAACACTTTGACCATCAGAAGTGTGAATCAGTTGCCAAGCATCTGAATGTAAATCACAAGACCCTGGAGATGCTGCAACATTCCAGTTGATTGGTGCTTCTTCAGGACTGAGCAGAAGTGCCAGGATCAGCGCCGAGGTCCAGCTGGAGCCTGGCGCTGATCCTGGTGCTTCCACTGAGCCCTGACAGTCCCAAAGAAGCACCGATCAGCTGGAAAGCGGCACTGATCCTGGCGCTTCCGTTGAGCCCTGAGAGCCCTGCAGCTCCAGCCATCTCTCGCTCAGGCTTTTGCGGTGCTGCCACCAGTTCAGCTCATTCCCCTCCCCTGCTACCACTTTTCTAGGATGGTTGCGTACCACCTGCCAGGTGCCAATGTACCACAGGTGGTACCCGTACCACTGGTTGAAAAGCCTTGCAGTAGAACACTTAAAACTTTCTCACAGTTACTACTATTAAGCCAGGTACCTCCTATGTTCTTCTACCTCTGCATTTGGCCTTCCATGCCTGTGTAAAACCTCACTCTTCTCACCAATTAGGTCTGCATTTTATTCGATGGTACCCAGTGCTCGAGTCTGTCGAAAACCTTCTGAATCTTGAGTCCATCTTCTGAAATATTTCCCTGCGGCTATGGCTATTTGCCACGGACAACTCGCCGCAGGACAACTCTCCACAGACAACTCACCGCGGACAACTTGCCACACACAATTCACTGCTAGACAAGTCACCATGGCCAACTCACCACAGTCAACTTCCCACGGACAACTCGCCACAGGACAACTTGCCATGGCCAATTTGCCATGGCCAACTCACAAGACAACTCACCACAGACAACACGTCACGGACAACTCACCACGGACAACTCACCACAAGACAACTCACCACGGACAACTTGCAACAGACAACTCACCACGGACAACTTGCCACAGACAACTCACCACGGACAACTCACCACAAGACAACTCACCACAGACAACTTGCCACAGACAACTCACCACGGACAACTCACCACAAGACAACTCACCACGGACAACTTGCCGCAGCCAACTTGCTACAGACAACTCACAAGACAACTCACCACGGACAACTTGCCGCAGCCAACTTGCCACGGACAACTCACAAGACAACTCACCACGGACAACTTGCCACAGACAACTCACCACGGACAACTCACCACAAGACAACTCACCACGGACAACTCACAAGACAACTCACCACGGACAACTTGCCACGGACAACTTGCCACAGTCAATTCACCACAAGACAACTCACCATGGTCAACTCGCCACGGGACAAGAGTTACACTAATATCAAAGAAATGGTGGATCCAAGAAATGGTGGAACAGAAGCATTAAGGAAAAGGAGGGACAGCAAAAGGAGGGACAGAATGAAACGGGAATGACAAAAATTAAAATGATTTTTTAAATTCATTTTAAATCATTAAACTGAATGGTTAAACTGTCCCGTGGTGAGTTGGCCCATCCCAATTTCCCCCAGCTTGAGTGGTAACAGTGGACTTCAAAGTAGGGCCTTGGCCATACCGGGGAGGTCCACCTCCGGAGAAAAGGACCTTTGGCCCTCTTGAGGAACTCACCTTCAGATCCTGGGTCCCGAGAGGATCCATAAGTTGCTTCTCCAACACCTGAAGGGACTCTTGGGCCAGCACAAGCAGACGCTGGAGGATCTGAAGAAGGGAAGAGGAAGAGCTTTGAAGGAGGGGTCAACCAGGCAAGGCGAGTGTCAACGCTGCAAATACTGTATATTCTTGCTTTGACAATATGCAAAACTGTCTGGTATTTTTAGGGTTAATGCAGAGCAGAAGAGGGTGGAGGGAAAAGCCCTGGAATGAGAGAGGAAGGAAACCTTTGACCTTCACACTAATTGGATAATGTGATATATGACAGCTAATTTAGGGAGGGAACATGCTGATAATTTAACTGCTCGGAGGAAGAGAACTTAGATCTTAGCATACCTTCGTTATGCCTGTGCCAAGACATTTTGTAACAATAAATTACTTTTAGGAAAATCAATGCCTGGAAGTTCTTTGAAGTGTTTCATTAGCCGGAACCATAACAGCGAGGGCAGGCAGTCCTCAATTTCCAACCACTGGTTTAGTGACCGTTCAAAGTTACAGTGACTTTCACATTTAACAACCACTGCAGCATCCCCATGGTCAGGTGATACAAATTCAGACCCTTGGCAACTGGCTCATATATATGACGTGATCCGCTTTTGCGACCTTCTGACAATTGAGCCAAACAACATTTCTGATGCTAAGCGAGACCTTTGTTAAGGGGGTTTTGTCCCGTTTTACAACCTCGCTTGCCCTCGTTGTTAAGTGAGTCGCTGCAGCTGTTAAGTTAGTAACCTGGCTCTTAAGGGGAACTTGTTTCCCCCTTGACTTTGCTTGTCTGAAGTTTGCAAAACGTGATCAC